CGCTCTTCCAGGTTACTTAGAATGGCGACGATTCTGCAATATGTCTCACGTTGAGACATTCGAGGATTTAGCTGGTGAAATTCGTAGCGCTAAGGTTAGACAAAAGTTAAGAGAATTGTACGGTCATCCTGGAAATATGGATGTTTGGGTTGGTGGGGTATTGGAGGACCAACTTCCTAATGCCAAAGTAGGGCCACTTTTTAAATGTCTTTTATTAGAGCAATTTAGACGCACTAGAAATGGCGACAGATTTTGGTATGAGAATCTATCTGTTTTTAAATCGGAACAACTTTCTCAAATAAAACAGACAAGCTTAGCTAGGATTCTATGCGACAATGGCGATAATATCGATAGAATTCAACCAAATGTGTTCTTGCTTCCAGAAGATGATAATAAATTCGTAACCTGTGATGAAATTCCATATGTGGATTTAAGGGTTTGGTCTGATTGTTGCGATGGATGCGAAGATCATAGTAACGCAATTTCAAGATTCAGACGTAGCGCCGCCAAATATTTACCACCAGAAAATAATTTTATTTTGAAAGACACAAGTACACATAATTATAATGAAAAAATTGAATATTTAGAGAAGACAATTGAGGAAACTGAACAGGAGTCCAAGAAGGTTAGGCACCTTGCAGAATCCTTGTCTCATAAAGTAGAAGAATTAAGATCACTTCTACAGGATATCAAGAAGTCAAAATAAGACAACAGACAATGTGCCATTATTCCGACATATCCGATTTCATTATTTTAGATTTGCTTCCTCTTCAAAATTTATTAATGCACATTATTATTGTACATACAAAAAGTGTAGATGCTGCTCGATTTAAGAAGATTAGCTTATAAATGTTCCATTGATTCAGATTCGTTATTTAGATGTCTGTTATTATTTCTAGTCTCATGTTTGATATGTTAATGGTATATACTAAAACGAGCTTAATGATATTTATAAAAACAATAATAGAGCTTATTTCCTCGTCGCGATTTTTTACTTTCATAATTTTTAGGCTGCAAAGAATTGCGTATTACTTTAGTGGCATAATATACGTATGTTTCAGAATTAATTTAGATAGAGCAAAAACTATCTTAATTGTATTTTATCCAGTAATATTTTCGTTATTAACAATGCAAAGATTCAGATACCTTTTTGGTGTTATGAATCCAAACTAACACAAACTTTAAATTAGAGACTATAAATGTTTGTATTGCTTAATATGTACAGTTTTGATATTGGTCACAGTGTTGAACAATCAGATTTCTATGACCTTGTGCCATGTGTTTGTTTTATACTATTTACATAATAGCTTTTATAAAATTTGTTTGAGTACATTAGAAAATATTTTTATTAACATTCTTTAAACGTATGTAGATGTTTGAATATGTATATTAAACAAAAACGCTTAACAGAAATTAAGGATGAAACAATATGTATAGGACATCATGATACACATTCAGCAAAGCAACTGTATTCACTTATGTAATAATATAAACATTATATGCATATTAAAATAGTACTGGATTATATTTGGATTTTATAGTATATTATTGTATTATTTAAAATGTTCAATTCATTAAATACTAACAATATATAATAACATGGGTTCTACTTCTTTTCTCCAATAAATTTAGTGTGTCGTCCATGAGCAATTATGTGTTTCCCATCATCTTTTGTAATATCCACTGCAAGAAAAGCTAGTGTTCTTCCAGCACGTATAGTCTTAGCATCAATTGTTACAAGATCACCAGGAAGAGCAGGTTTCATAAACCTATGTATTAATTATTACCATCCATATTATAATTTATCAGAAATGTGTATAAAAACCATAAAAATATTATACCTACGTAACCATTAAATCTACTGAAACACCTGCTGCATTAGTCTTATGGGACATTAGGGCATATGATGAAACACAATCAATAAGAGTACTTGTAAAACCACCATGCATGGAACCACCTAAATTTAAATGTTCCTCAGATACAACTAACTGTGCTTTACAATTTCCATTTCCTAAACCTGCTGAAATTATTTGGAGCTGTTCAGGAAAACATATTTGAAAATAGGTTAAAAGTGAACTTATACTTCATTTTTATTGCATAAATTTATGATGTAACAAATAATATTTATCACGTATTTTCTATGGTTAATTATTAAATATACATGAAAGAAAAAAGACAAAAAAACAAAACACAAAAATCTTTACTTTTCGCAAGCATTGTCCGAAATTAGGTGATTTAATAACAGTATCCAAAACTGTTGTAATGACTTTTGTTTTACACATAATTCAATTTGTATATTTTCCAATTTTTATTTTTTTACTGCTTGCACTACAAATATTAGAGATATTATACAATTAAATACTTAAATAATTAACTGGTATTGAAATTGCAATTTAGACATCTACATACGATAACCTAGGGAATTTTTGTTACTAACGTATGAGTGTAAACAATAGAACAAATAAGATATAGAGTTATCCCGAAACGTTTTTTATGTGTGTTTAAAATCTTACAGGTACATTTGCTTTTTACACATATGCAAAGTACAATTGTGTATATTATGCATATTGTATTAAAGGAACTGTATGAAACCCTTGACCTTTTTATATATTGTGAACGGGAATTAAAATTTTATCCTCCTTTCTTGAAAAGTTAAATAAAGTAGAATTCTGAGAAATATAGCGACTATTGTAGCTGCTCTGGTGTTTCCTTACAAGGAGAGTGCAAGTCCTTCGGATTACCGATTTAGTTGAAATTTTGCAGATTTGTAGATATTGTCATGCAGTTCCAGAAAATATATTATCATGGTCGCAACTACTCAATAATCTTCAAAATATTTACGATTAAAGTTTCATTACTAGATAATTACAGCTTTATTGTCTACAATTTCGAAGAGTAGTCGTGTGTGCGCGGCAACAGACGAGAATTTCTATGATGATGGACTGGGGTTCGATTCCTGTCCCAACAAAAAATAGCTTTTTCAATTTATTTTGTATTTATTTTTCGCCTATGAAAATATTGTAAATAAACAATTGTAAATAAAATTTCTTAATAAAAAAATTTATTTTTTGCGCTTTCTTATGCTAGTATATATTTATTATAAAACAATAAGAATATTATGCAAGAAAAACACTCTTCTGTAGCAATCTTATTTACTACAGGAAATACAAAACCTATTGCTCATGTAAGTATTAATTATTAAATTAAATATTGTATAAGAATGTTGCCTATAATTCCAACTTTGCAGTGTAGCTATAAATGTTCATGAATTAATTACAAAAACTTGGAAATTTATTAATTTTCTATAGCCGAATTGATTTCTAGTATTTAGTTTGAATCAAAATTTTACCGCCTGCGATCAGCGCCATCTATGATTTTGGCTCATTTGCTCGGAAAAGTGATAGGAATATAGAATAGGCAAGGAGGTCGTCGTAAAGCTCGTCACGTGACAGACAAGGACAGAGTGGGGATAGAAAAGGATAGAATGGCTCCGGCAGTGAAAAATTATTAATTACTCAATTTCTGTAATTAATTTATAAACTTTTATAATTTCATTGCAAATCTGGAACTTCAGGCTACATTCTTATATAATATTCGTAAAGAATTTAACTCTAAATTGTTAGTTATTAATTTTTGTTTTATGGCGTCTATGATTTCGTAACAACGACCATCACGATCTTCCGTGAAAATATTTAATACTCAACGAAACTAGAAGCAAAATGTGATCAAAAGTTATATGAGAAGATTCGCAAGGACATTGTCTTCCTAACGAGTGCATAAAGTTTCATAAATTAATTGCGTTGAGGATAGTAATTAATGAAAAACCAATGGCGCCTTCGACGATCTTACACAACAATTCAAACACTGCGCAGAACAATTATTAATAATTAATTAGTTGGGGACAAATTTATATCGAAAAGTATATTGGAAAGTTCGTGAGGGATCTGGCTTTACGATGCAATTATAAAAGTTCATAAATTAATCGCAGGAATTGAGTAATTAATTAATTTTCTAATAAAAATTCAAAAGGGAACAGTCAGCGCCAACTACAGTTGTGTACTCGAACTAATGGAACAGTTCCAGATAAAAATCATAGGTGGTGCTGACTGTTCCCTTTTGAATTTTTATTAGAAAATTAATTAATTACTCAATTCCTGCGATTAATTTATGAACTTTTACAATTGCATCGTAAAGCCAAATCCTTCACGACAATAAAGCTGTAATTATTGAAGTAATGAAACTTTAATCGTAAATATCTGGAAGATTATTGAGTAGTTGCGACCATGATAAAATATTTTCTGGAACCGCATGACGATATTTACAAATCTGCGAAATTTCTACTAAGTCGGTGATCCAAAGAACTTGCACTCTTCTTGTTAGATTAATGTTGTTATTTTCAAATCTCCATAAATACTAGTTTAGATTCTATTTTCAAACAAATTATTTTTTACTTTATTATATATTATTTTTCTTTTATTAATAATTCTGGTTCAATTATTACAGATTGTCTATTATACAATCTCTTTTATCATTATTAATTCTTTTTCTTTGTTACACATTTTTTATTGCAATTATTTGGAAATAAATTATTTGTTTTATCATTACACAATGTTTTTGTGCCATTACTAATTCCATTGGGATTAATATTCTGCGAAAATGTACTTTATTATGATTGAGGAATTTCTTGAATGAAAGAATTTTATACAGTACAAGTTATTAAATAAAATAATATATTATATAAACAGTAAATTCTATAATACAGTTATAATATAAAATGGTGAGTATATAAAACAATATAGAAATTATATATAATCTACCAAGGTCTTTAAGTTAACAAAAGACAAAATACTACTACTATTAGACTATTACTATTTTTAATAATAAATTTAGACATGATTAATGGGCAGTCCTTTTTGATTTAAAAGGTGATTCTCAGGTTGTATTATGTACTTCGGACCATCTCCAAGTTTAGTATGAATCATACATTTAATACGTACTGGAGGGCTTATTTCATGGGGTTTTATATTCATGGCTTTATTTAATTCCTAGAACAAATTTAAGATTTTTTTGTTCAAAATATGCATCAAGTAAGATATAACTGTTGTAAAAAGATATAAATATTTACTTGTGAAATTAAAATATTATCTCTTGGTAGTCCTTTGCAATATTCTATTTTACCAATTTCTGGATAAGCATAAAGTAATACTCCTAAAAATTCTGGCACATTTTCCTCCAAAAGATACAAAACTGCATTTGGTCCTGCATCAAAGGTATATGCAACCTAAAGTAAATAACATATTTAAAATAAAAATGAATAACATATTCTATATGAATTAGAAAAAATGATATACTTTATATTAATACCTGTACTTTTTTAACAGTTTCATTATATGTATGAACAAGATCAACAATAGCACGTGATTCTTCATTCATATAGAAAAGTGGTGGATATGTATCCATGCATATTGCATGCAATTGATTTGAATCTTTCATGGTACATATAGCAAATGTTTCAAAATCTTTTTCAATAATTGCACGTTCAATTCTTTTCGCTCTATCAGATACAACATAGTTTATCCTTAATTTTAACATATCAGATGTCTCCATGCTTCTTCTCATTCCAATTGAACTTGGAACTTTTTTTCTTGTGTCATCAAGCTGTAGAATATTAAATCATAAATAAATAGAATATGTAGCACAAAACAAATATTAAACACAATACACACAACTAATATTATAACTCTCATTTCCGGCCAGTGAGAAGCAGGTACAATTTGTTTTGCTATACTATCAGAACCATCTGGTAAAGACCCCATAGACCATTTTACAAAACCTCCTATAACACTGCGGCATGCTGATCCAGAACCAATACGGGCTATTGAAGAAAGTTCACCCTAACAGTAAATATTTAAACATATAGAGAATCTAATTAATTTGGTATATTTTAAAGTTTATAATTATGTTTATATTGCAATACTTTTATCTCGTATAATTTAGCTAGAGCCAGTACAAGACAAGCATAACCTGCTGCACTAGAAGCTAGACCAGCTCCAGTTGGAAAATTGTTTTCTGAACAAATATGAATTTTCCATTGAAGATGTTTGGAATGTTTTGCCCTTTTCCTAACTAAGATAATATAATTTAGTATTATCAAAAGATTTCAAGATTTCTCTTATATAATTACACACTCTCTGTTAAACAACGCTGCAATCTACAGTTCTCCATATTTTCTTCTCTGCAAAAAATATAACATTTTTTATGATATATTAAAATAAAATAAATTGTTAATACTTACTGTCCATTCAGCCACATACGGTCCTCTTTAAAATTTTCACTTGTCATTACAGTAGTTTTTGTAAATAACTAAAATTAAAAATTAGTAAAATTAAAATAAAACATAAAAATATTATTGTATTTTATCTTAAATATATTTATATTTTTACATGATCAGTGTCCAAGGTAGCACTAATAGAATCATTTACTGGTAATATTAATTCTTCATCTTTTTTACCCCCTAAAAAAAGAATTCATATATTTAAGAAAAATAAAAATATGTATTTAAACTGAAATAACTAAAAAAGATCATACATATATGCTGTAATAATTCGAAATTTATTCTTTTCACATACAGTAAACAACTGTTGCTAAATAAAAATAAGATTTCTCAAAAGTAATAAAATATTCATTTTTTACAATAGATTTTATAATATCTACAGTATTCATCAAAAATTTTAAAAAGCGGTTATTTGAATAAAAGTATTCAATAGAGATTTTATCCATTGAGCATGTCACATACAAAAATAACTTTCGAATACATGATTTTTTAAACGTAAAACTAGTAATTTTGGTTTAGAATTTGGATTTGGATGTTCTTCTGAACGATACATATCTCCGATCAACACCAAATTTTAGACTATCGACTGTTTAATACTCGGCAATAATTATTATACACAGAGAAGATAGTCGTTTTAACTATCTCTCTATACGACAGATTTCTATGCATAAAAATTTTTCATTTATATTTCAGAAATTATTCATTTTCCGAAAATAATATTTTACATTTAGTATTTACCCATTCTTCTCCTACTCCCCTTAAAGCTTGGTGTTGATTAGAAATATGTGCGGTTTAAAAGAGTACCACTCAATTCATCGAATATTATTCGAAAATGTAATATATCAAAAATATAAATATATGATATAGTAATGAGTAAAATTTAAATGTTCTAATATAAATTTTAAACATATTTAATCATTTAATTCGTCTTGGTGGACTAATAATTTTAAGATTTATTTTACGTTATCTGGTAGGATATGCTAAGTAGATTTGGAAATCCCAGTTTGAAGTATCGGAATTAATTGTAGCGAAAGTTATAAATCGAAAGTGCGTATTATTTAAAAGTCAATATGATGTTGGAAACAGCAGCAAAATAGATGCACATATTTCCTATATATCAATAATAAATTATCATATATTATGAACATTGTACTCTTTATATTAAAAAAGAAAAAGAAAGAAAAATTGAAAAATACGTACAATACTTTAAAACAGCAATATTGACAGGTGCGATACATGTAACAGTATACATTTTGTCAATTTACATTAACCAATTCTCCCGTTAATAACGCGCCGTTACTTTCCTTCGAATGGCTTACTATAGTCTGTCTAACAAATATATTCTTTATGAGTAAGCATACGCTGTGTATGTAGCAAAGGTGAAAAACTATCGATAGTCATTACAGAAAATCGATATATCGACAGCCAAAAAAAACTATCGTTTGTTTTCAATAGTAAAAGATATCGATAATAATGTCGATAAGTTCTCTACTTTTAAAGCCGATACTAATTTTCACTCTTCGTCCTATTTTCCTATTTTTTTGGGTAAGTAAAAGAATATAACACACACTTGGCAGCCTGTAACGAGTGTAACTCATGTTCGTACACATTTATATTTGAAGAAACATAAACTATCTAAAATCTAGATAGGTGGCCATATGTTTTATTTGCTTTAATCGATTTTCAATAGATATTTTAATATTTATTTTGTATTTTTATTTTCTATTACGAATTTAAAATGTCCATATCTTAAAATTTTATATTTGTATTGAATAGGCGGTACAAAATATTTCAATTAATTGTGTATAATGTAATAGGTTTATTTCTCAGTAAAAAATTTTGGTTTTAAAGTTAATTAATATATCACTTTATTGTCTGTTAAGTCTACCATTTGTCATATTTTTTTTTTATTCGTTTTATTTGTATTTAACAACTCACTTTTAAACATACACTAATTACCCGCCAAAAAGTATTTCAGTTATATCCTATGGTCAGATCAACGTTATCAACAACATGATTCTTCATTCTTCCGACAGATGGTTCTGCTCTCCGATTGTATTCCCGCTTTATGCTTGAGAGTAATACTCGAGCCAGCCGGTTTTCAGTGTGATGCCGGTTGCGTTGAAGGTGGGGGTGATTTGCACGATTCTTGAAGGGCTGTACGTATCATAATTGTACACGGTGGGTATGGTGCATATTCAAAGCGCGCGCTTGTTCTTTATGATTCGATAGTTAGATCGAAAAACGAAATGAACGAAAAAACAATGTGAGTGTCGTGCAGAAGCATAAGACGTATGAAAACCGTTTAATAGAAGAAGGAATTAGGAGTCACGGTGAATCGAACATGGTGTATCGAAGATATCGCATAAATTCAACGTTATTCAAAGATAATGTGAAGGTAGTGGTGCAATTTGAATGATTGTTTCATATCCTTTTTTCATTATCTCATGCATACGTACATCAGTGAAATTGTGTGTCGTTCCCTTTCTGTGAATCATTCGAGTTAGCACGCGGTCACTTCGGTTTGCGTACAAAAGAGCCTTACGAGTTCTTGCGTTCACCGTGAAAAGAACAGACGAACGAGGAGGAAGAAAAAGAAAAGAGGAAAGAAGCAGGACGAAGAGAGTGGAGACCAATGGAGCCTCGTACAATGATCAAGTGGTTGCGCTGCGTTGTATAAGATCGCGACATAAAGGTGTTCCCGTGGGACGTCTCGTGGGTTACAGTGACCGAGTCACTCTGTCATCTGTTTCCAAGAAGAGAGAGGTCGGCGGTCTCTGTGTGTAGTGTATGATCGCGCCATGGGGCGTCAGTGTTGGTCCTTCACGAACGGTAGGACCTGAATGTGTGCATATTTCTCCTGGCTGACTGGCCTGCCTTCCATCGTTAAGCTGCATCCACAACGAGAACCAATTTTCGTGCAAGGACCGTGTCTCGGTCGTTCTTGTCAAAAACGCGAATCGAACCAGTTAATGAGGACTACCCGACTTCGATCGTCCAATCGTCTGGCAGGTAAGATTTTTATCAATGGAAGCATTAAATTTATCCGTACATTCGATTATTACACAACATAATTGATGAATTTTATTATTGTAGTAAATAATATCACTTCGAAGTGAACCAAAAGCTATTTGTATTTATTTATTATGATGATTATGATCAGATTTCTTTCTTTTTTAAATTTCCAATTTAATGTAATTATGATTCTTATTAGAAATAATCTCAAACAACTCGATCGATTATTTATCGATAGAGGTTCTTTTATGTATCTCATACACTTTTTATTATACGAATTTGTTTTAAACGTATGTCGATTATTTACGATGAATAATTTAGACAGAAGTTTATGCTCATACGTTTCACAGTGGAATGATTGGATTCGTCTATAGATATGCTTTCCGTACGTTCCCTATGCGCGGACTCCCTTTTCTTGTCGTTTTCTTTGCGACGGTTTTGTTTTCAGCTTTCGTTTCTATGCCGTTCCTCCAATGAGCAACGTATACCGGAGCGTTACGTTGTAAATCATGAAAACCGATGGATTTCGCACTGAAATTAACGACTCGTGCGAAAGTAGCGGGATATATGCTCACAGGCCGTAAAACGCGTTCAATAGCACGTGGGGTGGCTAAATGAGATCCTTCACTTTGACTCAGTTTCCATTGGGTCTCTGCAACCTGTTTGTCAAGCAATATTTATAAACAGTGAACATTGATTGATACCCATAAATTGTGTAATTTACAACCTCGTGAAAATAATTTTTTAAGGTTGACATATTGCTTGTATAATATATTCTAGATATTTTATTTTTTATAACCTTGTGGTCATCATTTATTCCATTCAAATTAAAATATATGCTATGCTAAAAATGTAAAATGTCCCTAGATTCTCCCTAGATTTCAAATTTTAATTATTTCTACGTCGTATAATAATATTCCGAATATTTATCTACACATTTATTGGTCTATATTTTTCCACTGTTATAATTATAATCTATTAATTATGATATCAGTTCATATGTCATAATCCCGTGGAATTGGTGTAGATTTACCATTGGAAATATCGTTTCACACGACCTTCCGTGCCCATTTTGAAAAACTAATGGGGAACCTGTTAATTTCGTGCGTTAGTGTAGAAAGTAAGGAATTACACGAGAAGATCACGTTAAAGCTTGTTTCCTTCTCGAATTCTGTTTACGATGGATGTCGCATTACAAATAGATCAGAAAGACGGATCGTGAAATGAGTATGCGGCGCGCATTTACCGTTCCATACTTATTGCCACCATAGCTGGACGTGGGTTGTAGCTTTGTTTGATCGCGTTCGTGTGAACGCTACCTTAATTCAGGTGCGCACAAAGATGCATCCTCCGGCGGTACTTGAACTCTACGTTTCGACGCAATTCTTTATCTCTTTAATAACTAACTCTTTCAGGATTTTTAACCTATAATTTTTTACACTCGATAGCTATTGCATACTTATTTCATTCCTTTTAATGACTAACTACTACGTTCGTTTTACCCGCGCTGGCATATGCACACTATTTATTCTAATAAGTCTTTTTTTAAATATATTGTATAATTAGTATAACTTTTCAGTTCATTATTAATGAGTAATTTTGTTTTTTCAATATTCGAATTTATATCTTATTTCGATCTTTAAGTTGGAGAATTAACTTTTCCTTAGGAAAGTAAGCTCATTAAAAATAAATCAAACGTTAGTAGCAATTTTTCGCACCACGAATATGTAACTTTCTAAAAATTAATTCTGAACATTAAATGTTCGTCCAATAGATATTCGCTATATTACTGAGAAAGAGTATGGGTATTGAATGTAAATCTTATTTTCTTTGTAACTTAGTTCAGTTTTCCTGTCGTGGAGGACAGAAGCTAGTTCAATTGAAATTGAAAAAGACATGAACAATAAAAATTAAACAATAGTTTGTATGATTACATATATTAATGTCTCTACAATTACGATTAACAAATGTTCTTAATTTATTTACTCATATTAATCCTATTCGTTATAAATATTTTAAATAAAAAGATAAATAAAAATAAATTGGTACATTTAAATAAATTAAAAAGCTAGTAAATATATGTAAAATAAGACTAATAAAAAAAAAGAAACAAGTAAAATTTTTAAGTTTTTGTTTGAATATTTATTAATAAAATTAATCGAATCTTAAAATTCGTTATTTATTTTCTAACTGTAACAGAGCAGACATTTAGACAACATTGTGCCGTATCCAATCATTTTTCTGTAAGAAATAAACTTAGTCACTCCTTTTCCAGGAAATATTACTTTCTGGTTGGAGATAGTATCAGAAACTGTTACGGTTCTTTTACTTCGTTTCATAATTCCATGGATATCAATTGGCTGGTTAAAACGAATGTCTTGAAATTACTTCCTACTTCAACGGTTCTTCTTTATCTGCTCTTGTAATTTCTAAAATTTTATCATTCAATGCTTCCTAGTATTTTCTCCATTCTAATTTTAATATATACACCCATAACAATATATTACGTATAAGGGAAAAATTTAGTAACATATCAAGTAAGAATTAAGGAGACAGTAGCGCCATCTATTTTAAGGTTATTAATATCTCAATGATATTTATTCCTTACAATGCTCTCTGTATTTTCAATAACATGTTTGGATTTTATTAATATAATAATATACTTTGATCCATTTGTTTTTCTACGATTCACAGATTCGGTTTAGAAATCAGGTATGTATATATTCGTATATCCTTATGTTCTGTAACCATCGAGGAACGGTAAGACGGTGAATAAAGCTGCAGCTGCCGCGTGTAACAAAATAGCTAGATCGCAGCTTTATGTGGCCCGTGAATTCGTTTACAAACAAACCCAGCCAACAGAATATAGCATGAATTATAGTTCGAAGAATAAATCCAATCACGGCCTGTCCTACTGCTTTAAGGTTCCTGTCTATTGTTTCCTCTTTGTCTCTTGTTCCTTCTCCTTTTCCATCCCATCCTTATGGTTTCCAAGGCTTCCTATAACGGGTGCGATGAAGGAGTTTATATCATATAATAATCAATGTTTTTCAGTGTATGTATTAGAATGGATTTTATATAAGAAATAACTCTTCCTATTGTCCATTAATCAATTTCTCTCTGTAAAATTTTAATTTTTTTAGTCTTGTTTTAAGCGTTATGCATCGGATTAGACATTTTTAAGAATTTCTATATAATTTCTAACCATTATTAATGCTTTCCCTCACAAATCATTTATTACAAAATTTTAATAAAGTGTGTAACACCTTTCTAACCTATCGTCCTGCTGCACGCTCAATATCCGCGAAATCTATGTATCGACTTACCCATTGGGATGAATCATTTTAGACATGAATCACGAACTCGGTCGATAAGTCCAAATCAAATCGTTTTTCTTTTCTTCGTTTCATGTAACGTTCAATACTTACCAACACAGTATATCTATATTCTCCTGTTATGTACGTATCTACATTTTCATTCTCTGCTCTGAAAACAATTTACGTTCAACGCACTGCAGGTGTCAGTGAATGTAATTGGTCTAGAGGCACTGCAGTCGAACGGAATTTTATTTTCGGAAGAGACTAATGGAATTACCGTCACGATGAAATCTTGGGAAGTCAATTGTACGATTGATACACACGGCTTCTGTCGTCGAGTTTCTCCCCTCGAGGATTTGTTCTTTGAATTTCACGCAGGCCTTAGAATTTCTCGCACCCCTTATAACGTACTGTAATTTTAACGAGTCTGTGTGTACGTCCAATTAAGTGTGTGTAACGTTGTTTTAGTTGAAGGGTTGGAAATACAAGTGTAAAAGTGTTGAGGTTAGGTTTATTAAATATTTATCAAAGGAGAGAATTGTAAAGGCGTTTATCGATTATACCTAAACTATCGATATCTCATCAATATTTCACGATATATGAAACAATGTTACAGTTGAAATACACTAGTAGATATATTGTTAGGTTACTGCAATTAAGATTAATACATGCTAATACAATAAAATTAGTAATTCCATATATCGTTGATACATAAATTATGAAAATTTAATTATTTAATAAATTTTATTCGCATTTAAATTCCGAAATTTTTAGAATTTTTATTTTAATTACGTTTCTCCTGGAACTTTTGAGTCGAATAGAAAAATTTTCATAAATACGGTACACGATGAATTTCATGCTCAATTCTATTTGAATCTTTAGATAATAGTTGGCTCACGTCTAACAAAAGAAGATTATATTCCTAATTCCGAGTGATTTTCCATTTTTCAGAAGACTGCTTGATAAGAATGAGATTAATCCTATGAGCTTCTATAACATTTTGAGAACGAGGCTGAAAGAGACATGAAAAGTTAATTTATTATGCATGCTATAAGGTTATTTTTATTTTAATGTACTATTTACATACTATACATGGTGTCCTATCAACGGAGTGATTCTACATGCAAGAAGGAATCGAAAGAAAAGAATAAAATTTTTTGATTCGAAGCTTCGTTGTCGAAAAAATCGAATTTGAACATCCACTGAGCACACTGGTATACTGATCCACCTGTCTAAGTTAAGTGCACGCGCACTCGGTGAATGTTCAAAGTCGATTTTCTCGACAACGAAGCTTCGAATCAAAAAATTTTATTTTTTATTTTCGATTCGTTTTTTCACGTAGAATCACCTCCCTCTCGATTGTACTACAGTTGCTGGGACACTCTGTATAAAACAAAGAATTTTGAACACAGTAATATACTAAAATTAGATTTGTTTCGTCATTTGGTTTTCACTAACTTAATAATATTAAAACAGACATTGACAGGAACACAAAATCGGGAGTTAAACACTTTCACGGTAAAGGACCGGCCACCTGGCACTTCCTTGCCATGAATGAGAGACGGCCAATCGGAGGGAGACTCGTACATCGAACGCGAGCACAGGAAATCGGTGCTTATTCTCGGCCTCGATGCTATCTTGAGGCTCTGACAAGCCTTTTTGTTCGGCCTGGTGCACAGCTCGATCAGAAAACGTCAGCCGTGCGTCAGCTATGCTCATGGCTGACCTTGAACGCGGTACCAGTTGTAGCACGTGGACATACAGGTTCAATTCGTCGTTCTGTTCTTAGATATTCTCTCTCTCTTCTTTCTCTTTTTCTTTCTTAAATTTCCAAGCCTTAAATAGAAATCGTACTATTTTCAGAAAATCCATTCAATAAGCTGGAAAGCATAGGATCATACAGACTCAGTGGCGAGTAATTTGCAATAGCAAAGATGAATTTCTTGAGAATGATGGACCATCCAGTTTGATGTTGAATTTTAGGAAATTAGGATATATAGACGGACATACATTAGTGTAAAGTTTACTCAACAAAATCGTAGTTTCTATAAAGAAAGTATAAGGTGCACGAGTTCGAGATGGAGGAATTTATGATACCTTTAAACGTCTATTGTCTAATGATCACGCGTAATTTCGATAATATGAAGAATGAAAAGAAGGTATCTTAATCGAAGCGTAATATGCAAGACCAATAACACAATGGAGACTGGTGCCCCCATCTGTTTCTTTGCTGTTTGTTTGGACATACCCAGTGGAAGTTGGACTTACAATTAGCCCTGTAGAGCTTTACCATATGATTCGAATTCATAAAAATTTGTCAGACCAGGGTATGATTTTTCTATTCCCAGAATTGGTTCTTACAACAGCTTGTGTGGAAAGGAAAATGAAGGAATATTCGATACTTTTGTCGGTAGAATGAAAATTTGTAGTAGTTGCAGACATTATAGACATTTCTTTCTCTTGAATTCGATTATGATAACGTAGAATATATCATAATCACTTTTTCCTATATATATTGTTTAATTTTTGTTAAGCATGCGTTCTATCACTTTTATATTTGCACGGAATAAGATTGTCATAACTAATATTGGTTTGCCTATATTTGCTTCATCGAGGGATGTGTTAGTTAATATGTTAAATGAAGACAGAAATCTACAAGGATAAACAACTACATAATTATAGGGGGATAATCGAGAAGATTATACGATAGATAGGCTAATTTGTATTCAGAACATAGACTCCATGTTCACATTGAACAACTGATAGAATGTTAATCAAAAGTATCTTTTACAATAGACCTCACTTAAAAGTCACATGTTTAATTACAACCATTTATAATTTTCTCTTTTTGCAAACAAAATTCTGGTTCCAGGAGATTGATTAAGAGCTTTACGCGTGTGTATATTTTTCATAAATTGTCTAATACCTCTAGAAGAGAAAGTAGCCGGTGGAAAAAGAATCCATTAGAGTTCGGTAGTAATCATTAGCATGGTAAGATTCGAAAGCTGTAGCGTTTCGAAATTAGCTATTTTACAGTCGTTCAAACAGCCAATTGCAAAGACGTGAGAACGATGGAAGTATCTAGAGGAACAGCGTAGCTTGGTTTACTTTTAGTCGTTAAACATAGAAGCAGAGGTAGAGGATAGAACAAAAAGAAAGAAAAATTGATCATGATACTGTTAAAAGACCATTTGCCTTTTTAGAAAAACTTTGACGAGTGAAGATAACACGAGGCAATAATGATATGTTTCAGCGAGACTGGACGAGCATAATCGGATGAAGCTGGGCCAAGCATGCCCTCTAAGAAGCAATACAATCTCGTGCATAATGACGAGTATGACACGAGGATACCGCTACACAGCGAGGAGGCGTTCCATCGTGGAATTGTCTTCCACGCCAAGGTAATTAGAATCAAACGCTTCTCGATTGTTTACATTTAACGAATGTAGGCTCCTAAGCCGCTGAGCTTCCTTCACTCCTGCCCGTGGATAACCACGTGATGCTAAAGAAATTGCCACGTTACGATTCGATCACATTCGATCGAGAATTTCTCGATATAACCTTAAATATTCTAGGATTAGAACTCGAATTAAATCATTCTACTTCGAGATCGCCACACTCTCGGGGTCTTGTAATACGATTCTGGAATAGTCCGTTTCGCGACTACGTTTCAAGGGTGGCGCCACGTGTGTTATGCTTTCTTATAGGTATATTCATCTAATCGTACGAAACGTAAATTGTTTACGTAGTATCTCATGATATAAAAAGGCAGTAAAATTGATCTCATTAAAGTTTACACGTTGAAACATCTGGACGAAGGAATTACGGGAAATTTGAGAGGTTAAGGAATCTCATAAAGTAATACTATAATCTAGTTCAGTTCCTATTGAAAAATAATGTATGAAACTCTGGTGTGACTGCATTTATTGATGTTGCTACTAAATGTTTTAATTTAAGTCCTCGCTATATCGGGAAGATTACAATATCGCGTCATATAACCTTAGAGAACCTTCATGTATATAGTTTCACAAGTTTAAAAGTTCTTCGTATCGAATACGGCGCGTAGTTTTCCTTTTCCAATTTATGGTCATTCCTATGGTCGACATTTTACAATTATTTATGATTCTTACGATTACAAGTTCCTAATAAGGGATGCATTAAGAATGTGCATACTATAGTTTATGCATACGATACATAGCTCTATAATTTATATCTATTATTCACATTGTAAAATCTCACGTTTTCGATGAAAATAAAGTGTGGTCCAGTCACGCGCAAACAATCATTCCATTTTAACTCACTTCCGGGAAAACGTGTAGCAACGGTAGTAACCAACTTTATCGTTTCGACGTAACGTAATTTCTGGTAGGAGGCGTTGTCTTCCGAATACTAGCGGTTGTTACAGCCATAACATCAACGCGGACAGTCATTTCGCGGGAGGTGAACGTTAAATCTTCAAAATACGACTGGCCAAGAAAAGTGTTGAAATGAGAATGGAAACACCAACTGTCTAACGGATCTCTGGATTATATTCCGTGATCATAGTGTATACAAAACAGATAAATTCTGTGCTTATCATTTGTTTCTTTATCGAACATAATTCAAATCTTCTGGTTTTTTATTTAAGTTGGAACTATTAATTATGATAATTCTGGTTGTTAAGATAACATTCTGTTAAATACTGATGGAGATACTATTTGAATTTGATATTGAGCAAATTTTATCATAGCACATTTTATCAGATAATTTTATATTTGAAGTGTAAGTCCTATAAATTATCGACTAATTTTGTTTTCCCCGTTGTAATTTGTGCGGTGGGCGCGGACGCTAGAGAGAGATAAAGAATTTCATAATTTTTATTACAATTTTTGGATTTAATTTTTAAAAACGTAAATATTGCAGAAAAGTAACTAAAGTTACGTACATCGTCTCGTTTCAATTGCACCGTGAAATCAGTCACGGTGATCTCGCTTTCCCGAAATATTTGACGAGCGACGCTGTAATTTACTGCACAATTTGGGCCGTCTAAATTAGTTTCTGGGAAACTAAAAAGCGTATCATTCCTTTACGAATACGGTTGATCTGTTTATTGGGAGTGTATCTGCGTATGTACAGGTTACCAGTTTTTTTCCATTTTTATACTGTAGTCTTGTTATATTATCCTAGAAAACTAATTACAGCGTTAACCATGCCATAAAATACATTTTTGGTCAATATTTAGACCTACGGAAAGTTTAAATTAGTTATGTTTGATACGAACTTATTCAAATAGAATCACAAGTCCCGTGCAGCGACTAGCGGATGCGAGTGCGCATGCCTTAATTCCAGTGTGCCCTGCGCAATCGCGCGACTCCGTGTTTCGCGATCACTGAAAAATTGACAATAGAATCTGGATAGTCTACTAGAACAATCGTTAATACAGGAGTATAGCACTTCCTATAGTAGACTTTCAATGCGAAAAGTTGAAAATCAATATCCATTCACTGCTTGGAACGATGGAGTCTTGTGAATTATCCTCAATTTACCATCGACCGTAAAGAAAGCTGAACGGTGGTTATGTACGTGCTTGATCGATGCTGCGTGCCGTATGCAACAATCGCGACAATAACGCGACAGAACGTAGGTATTTTTGGTTACCGCAGAAAGAAGCAGGAGCGTGACGTCATTGTGCACATGTTTATTTGAGCGATACGCGTTCGTTTCTCGGAAAGGTTAAAGCTTTCGCGTACGTAAGCTCGTAAAGCGGCACTGTAAAGCGGTCACTTCGCAAGGGATCTCTGCGGCTATTCGCGGCATTCTCGAGTCGTTCCTCTCCCGCTGACGTTTAGGTTTCCTTACCTTGTTTCAGTGCCGAGTCCGTTCCGAACGGGGCGATTAACCCTCTGCAGATGCTATGTAACTTGGCATTCACACGCTTATGTATATACAATAAGTAATCCCTATATTTTTTAAATGTTAATTATTTCATTATTGTTTATTATTACTATATTGTAAGGTTAACTTCCTGCGGCACAATTATTCTTTGTTTAGGGAAATGAATGCTCGACTGCCTGCAGCTTCACATTTTAACAAGGAATTAATAGATAGCTTGGTAGTCTGCCAATAACTAGGTCTTGGATTTTATTAATGAAGAGTATTGTACATTGAGGTGAAGATATATATGATTCTTTTGTTTTTTATTATTTTTTAGCAGGTATGCTATTTTTTTAGTAAAATTAATAGTATTGTGTTTTTTATGATATGGAATTTTTTTGTTCCTTTTCTTTTTATACATTGTTATTTCTTTTATATATTATATCTTCGTTTTTATTGTGTTATTTTTGTAATGTCTTAATGTTTCACTTTTTAGGTTTTCTTCTTGTACGTTTCCAATGTGGGTTAAGCGAGTGAGATTTTGCGAACTGTCTTTTTGTCAAAATTTCCTAGCGTCTACTTCTTTCCTGGCATGATGAAGATTAATAGACTTCATTTTCTTAAGTCTAGATTTCACTGAACGTTCACTTTATCTCAGGTTTCGAATGACGAGAAACAAAATATCCTTCGTATAAATCTGAAAGCATGCAAATTCAATTTTACTTGTATTCAGTAAAATTCAGTTCCATTTGAAATTAATAAGTCAATTAATTAGCTTTTAAAATGTAACTTTTAAATTCAGATGAAGTAGCTTAAACCAATCATTTTATTTTCATGCAATACACCATTCATATGTCTGGTATTCAATTCAAATAATTTTTGTATCGTTAACAAGAGTTTACCAGTCGTAAATCAAAATATATTCCACCCAGTGCGTTCTACTTCGTTCAAGAAATTTTTCGCCCTAGTAAAGTTACAATAATTTTAGCCACGAGTGATTCTCTTGGCAGGGTCGTCGTCTGCGTTGCTTTTCTTTTACGTGATACGAATATTCACGAAACTTAGTCACGGTTCGTCGTGCATTGTGTGCTCTTTACATTCCTCAGTTTATTGTATGATAAATTTTCCATTTTGTCAATAATTTTGCTAGGTTGTGTTTAGTAAAATACTTCTTTATATTCTTCTTTATATTTTATATTAAATTTTTATTAAAAATGTATGTTGGTAGTTATAACATTAAAGTATATTCAATTTTTTAATTAATTAAACTACAATAGAGCAGGAGGTGTAATATATTCCAGATATGAGTGTATAATCTTGTCACCTAGAAATATAAAGATGATACGTTCAATGCTACTCCGAGGTGAGTGGTAAAATATTTAAAACACCGTGAGAAATACCGGTCGATACATTACGTTGCACTCTCGATTGATCGCAAATTCGAGAAACTCGATCGTTCCTCGTACCGTGCGTGGGAGTTGACCACGTGTGCAACGAGTTGGTCGAACACGTGGCCAGGTCATCGTTTCAATAGGGAAATTCTAAATACAGCCACCTAGCCGCGTTCAGCGTTCGAGCACATCCACCCAATGTATAGCGTGTTTCTGCGCTTTCCCAACACACTGCGCGAACATAACCTATAACTGAGAAGAAGGGAATTACTAATACAGAAACTTCGAATGAATTATAATATACAAAGTTATACATCGAGCATAACACAAAGTACAGAATGCCATCTCTTTCTTTTAATTGAAACAAAATTTTTTTGTTTTTCCCTCGTGACTTTCTTTTTCATTACCTTTTTTATATTTTTTTATATTTTGAAATCGATGGAAGTGCTTTTTCCTTTTTAATTAATATTGAAAAAGGAGTTTAATTGATATTTAGAAATTAATATTTTTCATTGTTTCGTTTGTTTATTTTTTTATTTAACTTTAGCTTATCAAAGATCATGGATATAAAAGTCAGTTGAATGTTTATAAGTAAAATGTAAAACATTTTGCGGTTTGTTTCGATAAATCGCTAGTCGATATGAAAGAAGCATTGTATTTAGCCTATTTTAGAATTTATTTTCGACTATCTGCTTTTGATCTTTAGCTGGTAATATCCGACTGGCCAATCAAACTGTTTTGGCATTTCCAAAACAGTGGTAGAAGTCAGATGTTCTTTGCGTTCGGTCAATAATTTACCTCGTTCCTTGTTTAAATAAGTTTTCGCTTAAAATAGAATTGCACGTTTATACGTAGTTTCCTATTTATATTCCGACTTAATAAGTCTCGATAAGAGCGAGTTTGCGATATGTACGAAGTATTCAATTCGTTTATTTTATTTACTTTTATATCTTATCAGGAAATGATTTTTAATTGCAAAATATTAAGAAATATCACTTTGTAAAATTTAAGTTACCTTATAAATGTAAATTAAAATTTCCAATTTTCTGTAAACGATTGTCGCTCTATTTGAAACTTCAGTCTTCATATAGAGTTTCAAAATTTATTTCAATATTTATTTCAAAATTTATAATTTCTTTTTAACAATTATCAATTAAATTAATTAATATAACACAATGTTGTGAAAAGATTTTACGATTGCATAAAATCCAGATCAGGAAGTAACGAAAACAAAGAAAAGATCTTCAAAAATTCCTAGTAACTTCATTGTTATTTTTGGTCCATGCTTTGCCAGAAATCTCGAATATCACAAAAAGGAATAATCATCGAATAAATTATATTCCAAAAAATAAAAAAACTTAAGAAAGAGAAAAGGAATTAATAAAGAAAGAATTTTCAAAAATCCCTGGTCACCTCGTTAACACTTTCGGTCCGCGTTTCGCTAGGAATATTTATCAATAATCGACTTACTACCACGCATAGTGACTCGACATCTGCTACCCGGTATATAGAAAGGAACAAAAGTAATAAGAAATCCAGTCTGTAATTCCTTCTCTTATACGTTTGCCCGTAGTTCATCGGCTCTATGGAGGTTCCTCGACCGACCAGCCGAGTGGAGATCGTGGCGGCGATGCGAAGAATCCGCGTGAGTTCGCATAATCTCTAATTAACCATACGGATGCCCCCGCAGGCCGAGTGGTTCGTTTATTTCAGCCTTATTCTGTCCCCAGTACGAGTTCAAGGCCAAAGGGATCAAAAAGAAGAAAGTGACGCTGGAGGTATCGGTGGACGGGCTGAAAGTCACTCTTCGAAAAAAGAAGGTAATTGGCGTCTACTCACGTTCCTTATCCGGCTGGTCGTTGGTTATTGCGTGTCAGCCGTAATTACACTGAGAATTATTCTTTCAAAACCCTCTCTTTATTTTTTCACTTTTCATTCTTCCCGCCAATTTCGTCGCGCGAAAATTTAAAAATCGCGGTTGGCCTTGGGAAGGGGTAAACGTTTATTATAGACTATAGCTATGGTTTCAGAAGATGGTGAGTGGAGTATTTGATATCGAATACGAATATTAAGTATTTATTATGGTTCGAATACTATATTTAGAATATTAAATTCTAAATTTACACTGCCAGCTGTGGAATATCAAGTTGTAAAAGTTGAATACCAGGCAATTATTACCAAATACCATGTACTATGCACGATATCGAATTTTTTTCTTTTTTGCTTTTATTTGGATCAATTTTATTGTTATTGTTAAATATAAATATTAATATTGAATATCCTTTGTAGGATTTCTTTTGCACGTTGTGAATGAGATCTCACTTCCCAATAAAATCTAGTCCCCGACAAATAAACGAGAATGTATGGTGTCCAGGAATCCAATGGGGTACTAAAATCTACTATTAAGATACTGAAGAGAGCATTGTAATGTTTTAATGTAAACATACCAATTACCAGAAACATTCTGATTTAATGAGTCATGTGTTTTGGTCTGTTATATCGGCTTGTATATGTTCTTTGTATATTTAGCCGTTGTTGCTCATTATTATTTAACATATTCTAAAATGGAACCACGTATGTTCATGCGTATTTTGCAAATGCGATTATCGAATGTTGAAAAAAGTAATGTAACGTATAATATTTCTTATTTCAGTCACGCAAGCATAAAAGATTCTTAACATTTCTAACATTTCTTCCTTAATGAGGTGTCATATTGCATTCGAGACACGCCATTCTATGCTGCAATTCCCTCGTTTGAGATCAACCTACGTATAATGGGATTAATGAGTCGTTATTTGTCCTTTGTTTTCACAGAAGAAGCAGCAACAGTGGATGGACGAAAATAAGATATACCTAATGCACCATCCCATATATAGGTAAGCTGAATCGTTCACCTCTCATGGGAACATCCTTCATATTCTGTAGCAAGAACAAATTTAGCTACGAGTCTAATTAGTACAACTTTCGATCACTCCTTAATTTAATTAGGCATGAATATTCCATAATTAAAGAGAAAAGTATTAACTCATATTTGGGCAAAATTATTTTGTCTTTTACAGTTCTTAATATTTTTGACTTTACTATGTTATCAGAATGCAAATCAGTGTAGCATGAAATAAAATTTAGAAAAAATTAATTATTATTTGTGTCGTAGTTAAAATATATTTGGAAAAATTTGAGAAAGATTTTGGAAGATTGTTTAGAATTTTTAAAAAATTATTGTATTTTATATAATCTTCAAAGCTACAAAGTGTAATAAATGTAATTTAAACTGATTGTTTTGCTGTTACAGGATATTCTATGTCTCCCATGATAGCCATGACTTGAAAATTTTTAGTTATATTGCCCGCGATGGAAGTAGTAACACATTTAAATGTAATGTCTTCAAATCTAGCAAGAAGGTAAGTAACATATGTCAAATAATTTACATATTTTATGTTAGTATATGTGATGAACAGTTTTGAATATCTACAATGCCATCAAATTTCAAGTACTGATATCTAATATATTTTCTAATATATAATTAATCTAATTAGGCAAAAATTACTTATTTTCAATTCGCAATTTTCGATATTCATACACTTCACAAATTTTATTCTCGTCTCATTCTTAAATCACATGCAACCTTAAAATTGATTTAGAGTATCAAATAAAATTCAATAATAAAATTAACCGAAGGTATTGCATTAAAAAGGAAATCATATTTAATAATATTTTTAAAAGTGTTCATTAATTTTAATTCAAAACATTTAGCATAACGTTCAAAGAATTTCATTCCAATTGACTTTCTAATGATTCAAAACAAAGAATTTCAACACAGATCGTAGTCAAACTTTGGTTCTGCATGGCGTACACAGTCATTGAGCCATGATGTTACGCGGTGCACGTGCATACCTACAATTATTCTCGCGACAAGTCTGTGTTGCCTGGCGTTTCATCAAGTCACGTTATTGTAATCCTATAAATAACCAAGCCATCCCTCTTCAGTTCTTTCATACGCACGTATACTTTTGCTCTCCGACTTTTCTTTCTCCTCATTTTTTCTTTCACTCTCCTTTTTCTTATGTTCCAGCTCGGCTTCCTGTTTCTCTTTTCGTCTTATCCTACGTTTCTTCTTCTCGTCCCAGCTAGAATCAACTCAAACCCCTTCTCCGAACCATCGCCATAGTCATTTATGTTTTTCTGGCAAATCTTCAGAGCAATTTAGGTGGATAAAGGATGTTAGGTTATTTCTTGATAATGTCTTGATGCGTTTCGGTCTTCATGGTGCTTGGAAAGATCGGGAAGCTGTAAGAAGATAAAAGTGTTAAGAGGTCATTCCTGAGTTTTTCGGAGGAATAGAATTTGAAGTATGGAATGTAAATAAAATATCAAAAATGATGAAAGTAGATTGCGGATTAACGATTGTATAACCAGGAAGTTATAAAATATTGATGTAATATTCTTAGTTTGGTGAAAGACCCTAATGTTTGTATGACTTCCTGGATTCTAAGATATCTCTTAAGCTTACACGATACTTTACATTTTCTTTTTAGAAACTTATATATAGATTGTAGACTCTCGATACACACTAAGCAAACTCATTATGAGTTCATACACTTCTAGATGTTTCTTATCTTCAGGTTTTTCAGTTTTCTAAAACTACTAGTTATTTTAAGACTTAAATTATCTTTTCTATTTGAATTAAATTTTAGTAATAGGTTGAAAGCCTCCAAGGCTATAAAATTTTTAACCATTCAATTGTATTGTTGAAAATTTCTGGAAATTCATTTCTATAAATTATTTCATAATATTTCAATACGAATGGCGCACTATTAGATATGATTCAGTTCTCGTTAGCTATATAGTCGTCGTTTGGTCAAAGAATTGGCTAGTGACGCAGAGGGAACAAAGTTGCATTGCTGCCAAGGAAGCAGAATGTGCCTTCCATTCCTCTCAGTCGAGCTCATGGGCGCCAGCTTCGAGAGATCGTGTGACGATAAAATCGCTGGTGTAATGCTCTATCCACACTGGCTCGTTGATTATAACTATGATAGGCATTACCTGTATTATAATAAACGTCTGTTCTGGCTCGTATAATTTTACGTTCGCCTAGAGTAGATAGTCGAAAATATGTTGTACGGTATCATTAGGGTTGAAAATTACACGTGATCGTCTTTACCGCATAGTCGTTATTTGCAATTTTTTAATGTATATTTTTTTACATGTTGATTAACAGCGTAGTACTTGTACTATTAAACAACTTCTTTTTAGTTTTCTGTTTTTCTCTTTTATGTTTTAGTTTAGAGTTACAGAAGTTTGATTTAGCAAACATTGCTACAGTTGATATAATTGAAATAATCTTAAGTCACTTTCATTGGTTATTAGAAAATTGTGTATTAAATGTTGAAATTAAAATTGAATCAGTTATGTTATTTCGAGTGATAATAAAAATTCATGGTTTAGGAGAAATACAAGATTTTATTTGATTACGCTTGTCCATTTTAATTTGAGCTTAAAGATTATTAAGATTAAAATTAAAGATTATTATTATGTTTCGATTTTGATGTTTTCAAATTTCACCATATACATACTAAATACAATGAATGAGGAATGAAAATATCTAGGATGATTTTAAGAATTATACCAACTTATAAATTGATTGCTTCTTTATGTTACTTTGTTGAATCTTATATTAAAAATGGCGGTATCAAAGTGTGTGACATTTATGATCAATTCTTTCCAAATTTGCATAACAAAAAAAAAGGGAAAAAAAGGAAAAGCAGTTTATATGAAATCTGAAAAAGTAAGTGTTTTGTTACGTCCGCATTTTCAAGCGAAGGATCATTTTTACGAAAGTTTGTATGCTTTGAAATAAAATATCGTGCCTTCCTCGAATGCAGAGACGAGTGATCTGCGAACACCTGATTCTGTACACAAATTGTGACGCGATGTGGGCAGTTCTAAGCTTAGATGTCTCGCAACAAAGTTTCCTTCTTTTTTCTTTCCCTCATCTTTACCTCGTGTAACAAGTCTCGTCCGTGGCGCCTGATAGTGTAGGCTATTTTAACAACCTCCAGTTCTGGGTATAGTCGTTATTGCAAGTATTACAGCGAGATAATGTAACATATCTAATTTTCCTTATTTCTGTTGAATTAATGTGTTTCGTACTTAAGTCTCTCTTTCCTTTCCATTTCTTCGAAATTTTTTCTTGCAACTTTCCTGAAATAGAAATTAAACGTTAGAGCTTATTAGGTTTAAAATTTAAAGGTGAAATTAGTTTAGTGTCCTTTTGATTATGATGTACTAAACAATGTATAATAATAATAATATATTAGTAACAGGAACATAAAGAAATAAGAAGAGTTGTGAAAGAGATGTATAGTGACAAGAAAGAAGATACAAAGACTGTATTATTGTAATCAACGTATCTTAGAAAGTATCGATGGAAATAGTACTTCAAGTAGAGGTAGGGAGTATCCTTGAACGACCCGGACTTGTGACGTTTGCTTTAATGCTTAAGAACAATATATACCTCAAAGCCAACGGAGCACATGTATCAACTTTGTCACTTTGTCCTTTGCGTTATTTTCTTCGTACACTTGCATGAACGATGTGCAAAGGAGCAGGCTGCAATATTATTTGAATTTTTCTCGTATGATTATCGAAGCAACGTTGCGGAGACAAGTTCAATATGCTATAATTAAAGATCGTTGAAAATTATTCGAAGAAGAAGGTTATGTTGCTCAAGTGTACACTTACGAGAAAAACAAGAAGTGGCTGGATTTCAAGGAAGAACAGCTGAAATTAGACGCTGTTGGTGAACGAACTGTGACACCTATTATCAATTACTTTATGATAATCAATTGTTCAAAATATTTTACTTGAACAAGAAGTTATTCTGCAAGAAGAAATTACATTCCTATGTTAATATTACATAACCGCATAAAAGCTCTCACAAATAAGAACATAACCTCTCTAAAATTTATTTTAAACAAGACTTCAATAATTTACCAAAATATTGTCTTTAAATTATTTCTTATAAACGTCATAACATAATTTCGATTGTTTCTAAGAAATAGGAATTTGCGCGTCATAATTGATGAAATTGTAGATGTTTAGTTACATAAACCGATAGGGTAGAATATTATAAAGAATTTCAGGAGTAAGACAATGGTATACTCGTTTATATTTTAACACAGCTTCACAATTCTTTCGGATAAACAACCAATGAAATTTTGTAATTTCTTTGATATTTTATATTGTTTTGATGCAATATTTGACGACTATTTGAACTTTGACAACTGGTATCGTATCGTTGGTACAACAGGCCACGTTATGCGTCATACACGTTGTCAAGACGTTAATTTTAACTTATATAGCGTTGGTTTGTAGGAGCCCACCGGTAATAAGACGATTTAAAAATATTCCTCCCGCGGCAACGGATCTCTCGCACCATACGTCGAACCCCGATGTTCACGCGTAAATTATCGTCTGAAAATATTTTGAATACCAGTGGCGGGTATTTTAAATCAAGCGCGCGGAGAATTATTATCCCGACGTTTTACTACAATCCTATGAAATCCATGTAGCTTCGTTGATATTTTATTCGAGTTCACTGACTACCAAAGTACTATGAAACTAATATTTCATGCAATACTTTAAGTAACTATAAACGATAAATTTATGAACTTGTATCAGATGCTTAGTAATCTTTTATAGTAATTTAAATATCAAATAAAAATTCTGCAGTTTGAGCTACGTATAGTAAAATAACTGATAAATTTATTCTTTTATTTATATATAAATCACTGAATTTTATCAGGCTATTTTGTCATTCAAAGCAGATTTTCAACTAAAAATTAAAATTTCAAATATCTCAATTTCAAAAGCCTCCGAAATGGCTGGTTAGAAATAGAATGAGTTGTATAGTTAGGCTTCTGCAGAGATATCTATATGAGCTGATGTTTGAAGTTCCGCGCCATTAGGCTGCCAGGATCTTCCAATGGGAAAAGCTCTTCTAAGAAATTTTGTTACAGAAAATTAATCTCTTTTTACTTGGCTTTGTTTCATGGTACACTGAATAATCCTATAAAAATCCTGTCTTATCATTTACAGATTGATCCACAAATCAGACAAATCTAAACACACCTATGCCCTGCGAAGACAGGAACCACTTCTAACAACCAAACAATCAGATAATTCAGAATAACACTCAAAAAGATATATATTCTGCCATCTATCAACTACTCCACGAACCTTACAAATCCAAAGAACATTTATTTCTTCCCTACATTAAAGAGAGGTAAAGAAAAAAGAAAGACATAAATATTCACTGCATACCAGCCCATAACAGCTAATCCTAGAAATCACTTTTCAGCATCCCTCTTCCTAGTATCTTCCTCGAGAAGTCGACGACTCCAACCAACTCTTTTAAACGTGTGTAACGTGTCTCGTTATCGTACACAAAACTAAGAGGGAGCACGAGGGAGCACCAAGTAGAATCGCTCGACCGAATTACCGCTCCGGCTGAAGGATGCTTGAAACGGGAATAGCGGAACGCAAACAGGCGAATTTCAAGCGTTGCTTTCCGCATTCTGAAAGCTCGTTTGTACAGTGTCACTTTAAGCTCTCCCCTACCTGCCTTCTCTCTCCCTTGCTCTCTCTCTCTCTCTCTCTCTCTCTCTCTCTCTCTCTCTCTCTCTCTCTCTTTTTTTTTTCTTTTTTTTTTTGTT